ATCAATCTGTAATAAAAGACGTGAGGAAATTCTGTCTTTTTTAAAGACAAAAATTTTTGAGGCGAAATACCCAAAAAGAAGTTTGTAAAAAAACAAACTGAAATCGAACTACCAAGCAAGAGCACAGCAATGAATTATCGAAATGGCGAATAAGCAAATTATTAAATAATCATGTTTATTCTGTACTTCGGTGTCTCTTTTTCTCGAAAAAGTGCATGCATTTTCAGTTCTTCATTCTTCATTCTTTGATGGGAAATATAGAATCATTGTGCTCCTTAATGGCAAGTGCCGTAGTTTGAGAAAGTGTAGTGAACTCTACTTGAGGACTAATGGGTAGAAAATGGATGATAGGGCGCCAGCTTGCAAAAAGGTGGTAAGAATGATCTCTAATCTGTAAATCTTTTAGCTTGAAACGAGTTGAATTTTGCTACAAGAAAAGTTGCAGTTGCTTTGCTTTGCTGATTTCAAATAAATTTGGCATTGGACAGATTTCCTGCTGTATTAAACACGTATTTTTCTTTCTTTCCAGGATGCACTAGGCAGCTTTCGGTAACCTTAGCATTACTTTGCCTACATCTACATGCAGTACTTTCAGTTCCATATTCATCAACTGACTTGTAGGGTGGATTTGGTATCGATTGAAAATCATCTGGAACTTGTCCCCAAAGAACCGCTTCAGATAAGTAAATATGAATTCCAGTCTTATGTTTGTGGTTAGAAAAGTCAAGATTTTTTATTTTGCATGTTTTTTTTCAACTCTAAACTTGTATAGTGGTTTCCGTTTCTGAGAAATTTATTTTCGAAAAACGATGCTAAATGTGTTCCCTCAACAGTTTTTTTAATGCTAAGCAAAATTTTCTTAACGATGAGTCAAGTTCGAAATTTTGACGGCATTTAGAGTGCACTTATCTTTACTGAACGCACAACTCTGAACTTGTAGAGTCCTTTTCGTTATAACTCATCGCGTTTCACTGTGCCGCACTTTTAAGTATGCTTTGCACTTAACTCAGGGGCGGAATAAAGCGTTAGCAGGCCCGGAGCAGGAATTTCAACACCTAACAAAAAAAACGTCACCACATTTTTTGGGAGCAATATTTCACCAAATGGGCTATAAAAAAATGGTTGAACGTATTGATAAAAACCCAAAGAAAAACGAAACTTTTATATCTGCAAGGTTTTTAAAATATTAAATATTCACACTTCATTACTGACCACGTTCTATTTATTGACCACAACTATTTTGATTGAAAATGCATGATGTTATTTAAACAAAGATTCAGATTTTCATACACTGGGTACCTAAGTCTATCACTCTATAAAACATTCTATCGCTTCATAAATTTGAAATAAATTAAAAAGATAATACTATTGTATAACACTAGTCTAAATTAACCAGAGCATCACATTCTGCAGTGTAGTTTTTAGGAACATGATTTTCTGTTAGTTTTATAAAAGAATCCAGTGGACACAAAACATCACAGTTAGGAAGAGCCAGTTCTTCTGGTGGATTGTAAACATCGCCTTGATATAAAACCTGCAACCAAAAACCATAGTTATGTTTTTGCCCTTTGATTGATATATTCGATTATCCCTTTTATTGTCCGGAGCTCTTTTGTTTTTCACGAACTTTACAATTTTTTTTTTTGGTATAACCGTTATTATTTGATATAACCTGTTACTGCATACTTACTTTTACCGCATAATTCTGCCTGGATCGTAAGTAATGTAATTCTATTAAAACCGCAGAACTGTAGTTAGGAAAATGTGTCTTGTACAGGTCCATAGCTGCCAGGATGTTTATCACGTTGTTCTCATGGCCCGAATAAATAAAGATCTTTCTTTCATGTGGATGTAAAGAGCCTTCTGTCTTGGCTACCATGTTAGCAATTACTTTCCCTAGCATCCGCCCTAAAATATATTAATATTTATATAAAGATTTCAGCCAAAGAGAATTTGTCTCCTCAGGATCTAATGGAGGATCTAGCGGAGGAAGCAGTTGAAGAGGATACTACTTCAAAAATAATTCATTTTTATATACAACAGAAACTTTTAATATGTACCACAGTGGCCCTGATAAGAAAGAAGGGCTATTTACGCTAGCTTAATGAATTAGGCTGAAATAGACACTATTAAGTATCCACCAAATTGGTGCTGTTGCATAATTGAAAACTAAAATTTTTTAACAGCTTGTATACTAATAATAAAAATACGTGTTTTTATCAGTACTTTATAACGGCCTCTCCAGGAGATACGCGCTAGTTTTGGAGAAATAAGTTTAATTTCATATTAAACCGCATTTCACTTTAAGTAATATTCAGTTTTCGTCTGCTGTTTAGCCACCAATTGAAAAAAAAAGTTTTATCGCTCTTAAACTATTAAATAGGAATTTAGGTACGTGTGGAGCCAGCCGTGACAACATAATTTAATGGTTATATTTTTACAATTAATGGTCGCCTATACGTTAACTTGACTCTCTTACCTCCATTCAATCTTTTTAAAATATCATTGTAGTTTTCCATCTCGCACTGTTTTGCTGCCATTCTCGTAATAACGTCTGGATAAACCGGTACGGTCCAGTCGGGTAATGTTAAATTCATAGAACGTTCTGCTGTTAATGTTTGGTATATCTGGAAAACGTCACCTACAAAACATTCCGTTAGTAAATCATATTTATTCCTATGCCCACATCAACCAACATACTAAGTTTATTTATCGGCTTTCCACAATGATTTTCGATGTACCGAAACGTGATTCTAATAGGTTTCAAATAAGCTAATGCTGCATCAGACTGGAGAACTTCCTCTAATTCTTTCATGTATCTTGGGCAATAGGTATTTGGCCGTTTTAAGGACTAAAAAAATATGTATAGGTTTGAGGAAAGTTCAGGTTAGTTCTCCAAATGTCTTACATGGTCCAATTTATCTTTGTCGTACTCAAAAGGAATAGGTAACCAATTCAGTTGATCGTTCCATCTTTGCGTCTCAGCTGGGGGATAAAGACCTGCCAACGCTAGAAGAGCCGACATTTTCGTTCGGTCGTAATCGGTACTTTGAGCCAATATTGCTTCTGGAGTATAAATGTCTCCCAGAAACTCTTGATATCTCTTCCGGAGGGATTTGCCGAGAGTAAAAGCCATTTCTTTTCCATGCTAAAAATTTGACTGTTAGAAGAAATTGATATTCTTCAGCAGGCCATTGCCTGAAATGAAATGCAGTTATTCTACATGTTAATAGAGGAAATTCTATTATATACTGATGCAAACAATTTTCATTGGGCAAATTGCAATCATTGGACACRTAAAAAATATATGTCCCAAATTGCCCAAATTTTACGGAKAGGAAATAAAATATTGTTTCACATCTCTTACTAGAGCTGTTTTTGTGGTCATCTTATAAAGTAACGTACGCAAAGCGTCGTAATTGCGAATAATTGGGTCCTTGGTGGCAATAACTGTGAAGCACTTTCGTATCTTTTGAATTCTGCAAATTACTGCTATTAACTGCTGCTTRATACCAGTTGTAATTGATAATAAAAGTTGCTGGATTAAAAATACTCAGTCAGTGAAAATAGTTTATATGTAGATCTGTCAACTGCTGTTTTTTTTT